TCTTTTCATTGTTTTTAAGTCTCTTTTCGTCCTTTGTTTTTTCTACCTTAAGTTTCCTGCTTTGAGCTGATTTCATGACCTGGGCTTAGTGTCTGATGAGTGTAAAATAGCACTTTTCACTCTCAGGACACAATGTGTGCTGGCCCTGCAGGCTGGCTTAAGGGTATGAATGAGTGTGAGAGGTAAGAATTCTTCAGCTGAGGATTTCTTTCCTCTCTATTAAAATGATGTGGGATCTGCATCTGCACTCACTCAGACCTGCTTTCTACTCTGAGGGAGCTATGTGGGCACAGATTGAAATGAAAGGTTCGGACTGGACATAACAAGTTATTAGAATCACAGAAGGGGATTGGAATGGGCCCAAACGACCATCCTGTTCCACTCCCCAGCCATGGGCATGGACACCTTCCACTAGACCAGGCTGCTCCTGATCTCCGTGGTGAAATATTTTGAGATCTCTTAATGTAGGCTTGCTTCATTGTCTTTCTTCCTCAGTTGTGCCAGCTCTGAAGCTTCAGTGCCAGCTCCTCTGAGGTGTGAAAGGCAGAGTCAACAAGGCACAAAAAAGGCTCCAAAAGAGCCAAGTTTCTGAAGGACGCACCGACAAGCAGGGCTGGCTCCTCGGTGACGGAGCTGCAGAGGAGCCTCTGAGCAACCTCTGTCCTCACCTTGTCAGGCTGTGTGGAAGTGCCCTGGGATTTGTAATTAGGCACAGTTTGAGACTGGGCTCTACAGTGATTTATACCAAGAATTTTGAGTCCCTTGGAGCCCTCCAGGCCCTGCAAGGGCTCTGAGCTCTCCCTGGAGCCTTCTCCTCTCCAGGTGAGCACCCCCAGCTCTCCCAGCCTGGCTCCAGCCCTCAGAGCATCCCCATGGCCTCCTCTGGGCTCTCTCCAGCAGCTCCATGTTCTGCTGCTGTGTCCCCAGGGGTGGGGCAGCTCTGCAGGTGGGGTCTCACCTCGACATTTCTCTGGTGTTCCCTAAGAACTGCCATCCCTCCCCTGAGCCCTTCAGGAGCATCTTTGCCACAAGCAGTGCTGTGATGGGTGTGTGACCTATCAGTGGTGATTTTGGCTGGTTGGAGTGGTGCTGTCTTCGCAGATGGCAGGGTGACCCCTGGGAGGGGCTCTGGCCAGCTACTGGGCACCTTTCAACAGTGTTGATGAAGGACAAACAACACATCTGAGCTTCCCAAGTGGGAGTGCCAGCTCCTGGGAAGCTCAGAGGAGCGTAAGGCCTGCCGTGTTTGCTCCAAGATGAGCCAAAAAATGACGACTGCCCAGAGAAGTGCAATCAGCACAGAAACACCGGCTCTGACCCGTCTGCCCAGGCCATCAAGGAGCTTCCTTAAGTACTTCCTTACTGCACCCCTGGGGCACAGCCTGTGGTGTGTTTCCCTGCTTTCCTTCCCCTTTGGCACAGCCTTGGGAACGTGCTGCTTTGAGTCAATGAAGGGAACAGGCTGGGGGCAGAGCAGCCCTGCCTGTGGGACACAGACCCCCAGATCCTGCCCAAACAAACCGGGGATCTCAGCCCCAGCCCTTCCCCCCCAGCCTTCCCAGGGAAAGGTGTGTAATATATGATTTAGAATAGATTTGTGCTCAGGACTAAAAAATACAGTATCCTTTTAAATGGAACCACGTGATGGGAAAGAGCAATATACACAGGATGAATTCCTGTCTCAAAAGATGGTTATTCTGAAGGATTATTCTAGAAGATATGCCTTGAATGCTAAGATGAATATTCGTTGCCAGAACAAGATATTCGGGGGGATTACTGTCTAAGAGGATTTCAGCAATGAGAGTATTCTAGGAAAGCCTCTGTTTAGAAGCACCACAAAAAAAGAACATGCATGAATATGTGAAAAAGGACAAAAGGAAACAGGAGAACCACCCCAGAATCCTGTTAACTCTAGAAACAGTATAAAAAAGACCATGTGAAATCAGTACCCCGTGAACTGCCAGGGTATGGTGCTGCATTAGTCCGGACCCAGTTCACCCAGCACCGAATGCCTGGCTCGGCGCTGATTTGCTTCTGGCTTTCCCAATTTTACTTCTATTTGATTTAATAAATTCCTTTAATTATTAAATTGACTGATTCATTTATAACAGGTGCATTCCAGAATGAAATGTTTGTCCTTCCTAGTAAGGTGGCTGGTGCTTGTAGAGCCTGAGTAAGTCAAGATGTTGCCTTTTGCCTCTGCCTGTAGCTCTCCATGAGCTGTGACAGCCCCTCTTGCCAGGCACCTGTTTCACAGCCACCACCTCTGCCCTCCCCTCAGCTTCCTGCTATTAAGCCCCGACTTGCATTGGCCCTAAAGCTCAGAGGGAGGCTCTCCTGCCAGAAAAAAATCAGACTCTGTCCTTCAATGAATTGGTGAGGACTGCACAGGCTCTGCTTGTGTTTACGGCACCCAGAGGAGAAGGTACAACGGGACAGCAAATCATGGACACAACAAAACCCCCAGTGTGCTGTAGAAACGCCCCAGCCCTGGCAGAAGAATAAAAGGTGAGCCATCCGCAGCCCCTTCCATCCCGTTTCCGCCTGGCTGAAAAGCAGGATGTGGACAGTAAATTGGGCAGCAACGATGCACGCCAGTGGCGTGGTGCTGACGAGGGTCCCAGTCCTGTGACACATGGCTCCATGTCCTGCCAGCCAGACAGGAAGAGCCCTGGGCTTTGATCTCCAGGAGAGAACTGGGGGCTTAACCATAAAAACAAGAAAATAACTTGCTGCACACACACTGTTGGTGCAAAATATGAGTCTCTCCTGCCAAGGCAGAGACCTAGAGCTGCTCTCCAGGAGATGATCTCACTCCAAGTGGGATCTTCAGGCTGGGTGCTGTTCAGTTCCTGGTGAGGTTTATGGTGATTTTCTTCCCCCCATTTTTTCTCCTTCATTGAGAAAACAGCCTAACAAAGGGAAGCACCTGTCCTTACTTGCAATAACACAGAAGTCGACCTTGTCAGCCGACGTCTGAGTTACCTGTGGCACCTGTGGTGACAAAGGGCAAATGACTACCGAGGTGTGTTTGTGATAAAAGCAAGAGCTCAGTAACACAGTGACTGCTCCATAAAACCAGGACATACTTTCACACAACTAACCCGGTCGATAAGCTGCAAGGGCTGCAGGCTGGGAACAGTTTGCTCAGGCTTTAATGGTTGACTCATTAGTGGTTCAATTTGTCTATTTTTTACATTGGGAATAAGAAGCTGAGGTAGGAACACTTCCTCTTTCACTGTCCCAGGGTGAAGAACTGCAACTCTCACCAGCACCTCAGCAATACAAGAACTTTATTTACAGGGCACAACCTTGAGGTGCTAGCACAGAATCATACAAAGAGAAGTGGTTGGAAGGGAGTTTAAAGCTCATCCTGTTCCACCCCCTGCCATGGGCAGGGACACCCTCCAGTACATCAGGTTGCTCAAGGCCTTATCCAACCTGACCTGGAACACCTCCAAGGTTGGAGCATCCACAACTGTCCTAATTTTACCCCAGAATCCTGATTTTAGCCCACTTTGAGCAGGCCTGTGATTGCCCAGCAGCACAGGATGTCCTGTACACGTTCCCTGCCCTTGCCCCCTTCCTGTTCCCCACCCTAGTGCCCCATGTCCCACACCCTGTAGTGAAAGGGGCTGCCCTGTCTCTCCTCCCTGTTATGTGTAGTAGATATAATTCACACCATTTCTAGTATGGTATATGTGATATTGAATATTTGTTGGAGTATACACGTTTGTATTAGGAGTCCCCCCTACCCTCACAGGCGAAACCTGGTTTATGTTGAAACCTGATTTACAAGTAAAAGGATGTGGCTCATCAGGAGATGGGCCATATCTGAAGCAATATGGGACGTCCAGGTGACCTGAGACGATATAATGGAAATCCTCCATACAGGTACATGTGAATGCAGGGTTCCCATAATTTTCCTCAAGGGATTCACCAACTCCAGACATCAAATTGTTCTACCTCCTCACCAAGAAAAGAAATCTCATCAAACTATGGGACTCCTAATAGAAGAAAGGACTGATTGCCAAAATCTTGGCCTCAGGCAGAATTTTCCCTATAAAAAAGCATTTGTACCAGATTGGTGCTGTGTGGGTATAGAGGAAAACCTCTGCTGAGGCTGACTTCTTTGTTGCACACCCAGTGCTGACCCCGGGCTCGGCACTGTTCTTTCCTTGTGGCTGGCTAGATAGAATCTGATTGCAAAAGAAATATTTTATTTTTTCATTTTAATTTGGCTGGACAATTTTTCATTTATAACATCCCTGTGCCCCTCCTGCAGCCCCGGCCCTATCAGCCACCTGCAGGCCCGTGACCTCCTCCTCCCTATGCCTTATTCCCTGTCCCCCATCTCTCAGCCTTGTTCCTAGGCACTAGCCCCCATCCCCAACCTCCTAAACCCTGTCTCCAATCCCCCACCGCAGGCCATATTCCCGGCCCCCTCCTTAGGGCCATGTCCCATGTCCATAGGCCCTGCTCCCCTCCCTAACGCCCATCCTCTGTCCTGCTGTTTCCTCCGCCCTGTCCTCCATGTCCCCATTCACCATGTCTGTGCCCCGTCCCCCATCCTCCGCCCCTGCAGTCCTGTTCTCCACCCTGTCGCCGTGCCCTACCCACGTCCGCCATCCACGTCCCCCATCCACTTCTGTCCCCTCCCTGCCCCTGTCCCCAACACTGTCTCCCGGCGGCCAGGCTCCGGTCCCCATCCCGCATGGAGCCCGTCCACATGACTCTGTCCACATGACTCTGCTGTCCCTATCTTCGCCTCCCGTTCCATCCCCGCCTCTCGCTCCTACCCCGCCTCCTTCTTCCGTTCCCGTCCCCGTTGCTTTTCCGTGTCCCCGTATCCGTTGTCCGTCTCCGTGGCCCAGCCCGTGCCCCTGTCCCCGTCCCCGTCCCCTGGCTGGCGCCCCGGCGCGGCCCGGTTCGCTGTTGTGCGCTCGCCCCGCCCGTCGGCCCCGGCGGTGTCCCGGCCGTGTCCCCGCTGTGTCCCCGCCATGTCGCGGCGGGCGGTGCGGGTGCTGCGGCTGGGCGCGGTGCCGTACGCGGAGGCGCTGCGGGTGCAGGAGCGCTGCGTGGCGGCGGCGCGGGCGGCGCGGGGCCCGGCGGCGGGCCGGGGCGGCGCGGAGGCGCTGCCGGCGGAGAGCGTGGTGCTGAGCGAGCCGGCGCAGCCCGTGTATACCTGGGGGCTGCGGGGCGCGCCGGGCGCGGCGGCGGCCGCGGCGCTGCGGGCGCGGGGCGCGGCGCTGGTGGCGGCGCGGCGCGGCGGCCACATCACTTTCCACGGCCCGGGGCAGCTGCTCGCCTTCCCCGTGCTCGACCTGCGCCGCCGCCGCCTCCCGCTCCGTGCCTACGTGGCCGGGCTGGAGGCTCTGGTGCTGCGGCTCTGCCGCCGCCTCGGGCTGGGCGCAGTCCGCGCCCTCCCGCCGCCCTTCACCGGGGTCTGGATGGGCGACAGCAAGCTCTGCGCCATCGGTGAGCGGAGACGGCGCCGGGAGCGCGGGTGTGTCCGTGGAGCCGCACTGAAGAGCCGGCGGTGTTCCACGTGCGGAACGGAAGGCTCCAGGGAGAGCTCAGAGCCCTTTCCAGGGCCCTAAGGGGGCTCCAAGAGAGCTGGAGAGGGGCTGGGGACAAGGGGGAACGGCTTCCCACTGCCAGAGGGCAGGGTTAGATGGGATGTTGGGAAGCAATTCTTCCCTGTAAAGGTGCTAAGGCCCTGGCACAGATTGCCTAGAGCAGCTGTGGCTGCCCCTGGATCCCTGGAAGTGCCCAATGCCAAATTGGACATTAGTGCTTGGAGCATCCTGGGACGGTGGGAGGTGTGCCTGCCCATGGAACATCTTCCAGCCCAACCCATCCTGGCACTGCCTGGGCACCGGGGCAGAGCACTGCAGGAAACTGCCCTGGACCTGTAGGCACCTGAGAGGGTGGGTGTGCACAGGGGTGGGATTGGCCTCCAGGAGGAGGGGGCAGCAAAATTTGGAGCCCCTGCAGCCCACCCAGACCCCGACACTTTGCACGTGTCGCTCCCAGGGCTGGCTGGCTGCCTGCAGGCCAGTCCCCAGCCTTGCCCCCTTCCCTTGCACCCCTCCACATCCTGTACCCCTTCCTGGGACCCTGCAGCCTGGATTTTGGATCCTGCAGGTCTCCCCATATCCGAGCCCATTGGAAACTCCAGCGGTGGGAGGTGCTGGGGGATGCAGGGCTGGGGTGGAGGGTCTGGACATGCTGCGCTCCATCTGCCCCATGTTTGGGGAGCCTGTCTGTGCGTTTTCCCTGGCAGAACCGAGGAGCACAGCGTGGTAGGGGGAGGATGTTTATAGTGATCTGGACAGCGTGGTCACTCAGTCTGTCCCACCAGGGCATCCCTGGTGATGGGGCTGATGGGTGGGTGCTCTTGGCCATGCAGGTGTGCACTGCGGGAACCACATCACCTCGCATGGGCTGGCGCTGAACTGCTGCACCGACCTCTCCTGGTTTGAGCACATCGTCCCCTGCGGGCTGGAGGGCAAGGGCGTCACTTCGCTGAGCCACGAGCTGGGGCAGCATGTCGCCGTCGGCAACGTCATCGAGCCCTTCCTCGACTCCTTCCAGGAGGTGTTTGACTGCACTTTGGTCTCTTCAGAAGACCCCGGGGATTAGAATTGTTGTGATGCCTTGGCCGGGTGTTTTGGCAAAGCCATGGTGCAGCCAGTGGGCATCAGGGCAGTGCCGGGGTCTCTGTTGTGAGATGAGTTCTTGTGCCTTTGCCTGTAGACTGTGATTGGACTTTGGCACAGGGTTTCAGGCTGCTGCTCGATGATCCAAACCTCCCCTGGGGCTGTTCTCTCCAGCCCTGTGAGTCTCCATCTTTTGGCTGAAACTTCCATGGGTACCACTTTCTGGGGAAGTACTCAAACAGGTGCTTTTGTGGGGTTTTTTTCTGCTTTTTGCCTCACAACAATTAAAGATTTGTGTGAATGCTCATGAATTCACATGAATTCTCATGAATTCACATGAATTTGTGTGGCTTGAGCATCCTTCCCTTGCTGACGGGTAAGAAGAGGCAGATTTTATATATAAAGACAGTTGCTGTGAATTTTGGCTGCCAATCCTTTTCTCATTTATTTACCCCAAGACTTTATCAGTGACAGCCTTTTTCTCACCCTGAGCCCAGGGAAATCCTCACATGGCAAAATCCTGGTGCCAGGGAGGGTGGAAAATGGCTGTAAACACTGGTGGAAAGGCCACTGGAGTGCTGCGGATGCAGTGGAAAAGGGGGAGAAGGAGGGAAAAGGGTTGGAAGGAGAGAAGCCACAGCTGTCATGGATCCTGTGGGACCACACAACATTCCAGCTGAGCAGTGGAGACCTGCTCCCACGAGGTCTGTGGTGCTGGAGGAGGTGCTGCTGTCAGCACTTCTGAAATTGCTGTCCCAGCTGCGGCATCATAAGCTGATTTAATGGACGGGTTTATTGAGGGGGGAGAAGTCAGCCTGAGGCTGGAGTACCCACACCCTGCTCAGAGTAAGACCTGACTCCCACCCAGAGCCCCTCACTGCTGTTCTGGGCCTTCTCCCTGCCCCACAAGCTTTGGGGTTTCTCTGCTGCTGCACAGCACTGGCAGCTCCTTGTGAGCCCCCCTTAGTGCCCAGTGGGGCTGAAAAAGGGGGAAATCCCATTTCACAGAGCAGGCTGAGCTCCAGGAGGGAACGGGGAGCAGGAAGAACATGCCCAGGAAGGCTCTGTGCCAAGGGTGAGGGCTCGGGGACTGCGGTGCCGGACGAGGAGGGACAGGAAAGCGTGACCGTCAGCGTGTGCTGGGGAAGTGTGGAGGGAGCCCCGCTCTGCCGCCCCACAAAGTCCCGGTGTCTGGCTGGGGCGAGGGGCCCTGGCAGCACCCATGGGGCTGGGGGTGGGCCGGTGGCCATGACGGGGCTGGCTGGCTGTGGCAGGTGGCTCTGCCCGGGAAGGGGAGGAGGCTGGCAGCGTTCCCAGCCTGGCTGGCATCCCTCCCCACCAGCAGCGATGCTCAGTCCCGGCTCAGCCTGGCAGCAACGCGAGCAGAGAGGACACACGAGGTGAGTACGAACCCCTCTTCCCACACCCTGTCGCCCGCTCCTCTCCCTGTCCTTGCACCCTCCCTAAGGTGGGTCCCCCCAAGGCGTGCCCCATCTGTGGGTCCCCTCCTGGGATAAACCCAGATCTTGCCCCAAACCTCCCAAATTCAGCCTACTTCTCTTAAGTCAGGAATGTAGCAAGATCCGACGTCATCCCTGTGGGCTCGTGGCTGCTCAGCCCCTTCTTCCTCCTCTTCCTCCTCCTTGCAACTGGGGTCTCATCCTGGGAGGTGCCCCCCAAGTTGAGGGTGACCCATTTGGGATCAGCTGCCTCTGCACAAGTAGAGCTGCAGGTGCAGCAGGCAAGGGGTGCTGGGGAGCTGCTGGGGGCAGGCTGGATACCTGGGGGGACTACAGTGGGGACTGGCATGTCCCAAAGGATGGCACACGTGGGAGACTGTGTCCCATGTGCCTGTCCCGGGGCCCCAGGAAGTTGTGAAGGTGCACAAGGGAGCCCAGGGGGCTGGCAGAGGGGCACCATGCCAAAGGTCAGAGTGGGTCTGGTACCCAAAGGGAAGGGAAATCCCCGGGGAGGTTTAGAGCAGCAACCCCTCAAGATGGGTTCACATCGATCTGTGGGGGGCTGTGCCAGCTCTGCACCCTGCAGTGGGGCAGGGTATGTGCCCACCATCCCCACACATCCCTGGGGAAAGCAGACTTTGGACCCAGCCCTCCTGCTCCCTGGGGACAGCTGTGTCCTCACATTGTCCCCAGTGGTGGGGAGGAGAGAGGGCCAGGCAGCTGCCCCAGAGCCCTGGGAGATTTATCTCTTCCATGGAAGGACTGAAATTTAGGGAGAGGGCTGCTGGGAATGCAAAGGGTTTGGCCACCCTGCTTTGTGGCAGAGGAAGTGCTTCAAGGGGCAGTTTGGGGTCAGTGCTGGGAACACCTCTGCTGTGAGGGCAGCCCCGTCTGAGCCCCCTGTCCTTCCCCGCAGCCTGCAGAGGACATGGATGAGAACAACCGCACTTTGGAGTCTTGGCACCAAAGCCTGCAGGCAGTGCTGAACGCCCTGAACCAGACGCTGCATGGGACCATCCCCTGCTCTGGCGAGGCCCTGGCTGGCGCGGCAGGAGCCACACGTGGTGGCCACACCGGCCGCAACGCCAACGCCTACATGTACATCCTGTTCGTCATGACGCTCTTCGCCGCCACCGTGGGCAGCCTCATCCTGGGCTACACCCGCTCCCGCAAGGTGGACAAGCGCAGTGACCCCTACCACGTCTACATCAAGAACAGGGTCTCCATGATCTGAGCCTGGCCCATACCTTGTCCCCAGGGTGGCTTGGGGTCACCTTGCTGTGCACATCTGGCTCGCTGTGGGATGTGGCAGTGCTGCTGGCTCCAGAGCTGCTGGGAACCCCGTAGAGCTGCTGAGAATCCCCCGAAGCTGCTGAGAACCCCCAGAGCTGCTGGAACCCCCACCATGGAGGAGCTCAGTCCTGGTGTGAGCAGTGCCGGGATGTCCTGGAAGAATGTGACCTGTAAGCAGGTCCTGGTCCTGCAGACCCACCTCAGCTCCACCATGGGCGTGGGGCTGGCAGGGGCAGCTCCTTTCCCACTGTGGCCTGCGGGGGCTGGCAGGAGGCGTCAAGGAGAATATTTCCCTATTTCCCTACTCAGATCAGCTGGTGTTGACCTCCCTGGGCTCCTAGCAGCTGTGACAGTGGTTTTAGGGAGTTTTTCTGGTGCTGAAACCCTGTAATGTTTGAGCTGGGCTGTGTCCTGCTTTTCTGGCAGGGAATTAAAGGAGGTGGTGGGTTCAGGGAACTTGTGTTTGCTTCTCCTCCGAGCAAAGCTGGTGTCTGGGGCAATCCATGAGGCACGGCTCTACGCCAGAGTCCAGGGGATGCTGAAAGGGCTAAACCTGCTGACTGTGTGCTGCCAAGGTGGGTTCAAGGGTAGCCCTTGGGTGGCATCACAGCCTCCAGATGGGACAAATCCCCGGGATGGAGCAAGCCCCGCACTCCCAGCTGGCCATGTGTCCGTGCTGCTGTGCGGGCAGCACTGCTGGAGCTGTGGGCACGCTGTGAGCGTGGCCCGAGCCCGGCCAGAGGCGTGTGGCTCCAAGCATCTCCCAAGACCTCTTCAGGCTCCGGATGGTGATGCTGGACTCTTTCCTGCTTCCTTCCTGCTGTCAGCTGTAGCTTTGGCCTTTTGTACCGCAGGTCCCAAATGTGTTTTCCATGGGGTGAGGGTGCAGCAGGGGACGGGAAGGGATGTTCTTGGGTCCTGCTGGCCTCCTTGGCTTTGACTCTGCTGTTAAGCTGGTCGGGTTTGGACCTGGCCTGTGGAGTGGCCAGTGTCCAGGACAGTAAATGACCCTGTCCTTCAAAACAGGCTGTGGGGCAGCGCCAGTGTCTCGCACGTCTTAACCTGTTGGTAATGGCATAATGAATGTCTTTAATTGCAGCTAGATTAGCTGGCCCATAGGGGCCTTTCCGCCTGCATTCCAAGGTTAAACACAGTTGCAATCCTGAGCCCAAACACTGACGCCAAACCCTAATCCAAAAAATAATAGTGGATGTGAGTGTGTTTGGGGTAGGGCTGGAAACCTTGGCACTGGAGGCACCAGCACAGCAGCAGCCTAGCGACCGATTCCTGGTTTGCCGTGCCTTTGGCTTGGGAACAAAGCCTGGAGCAGGGGGGAATGGGAAGCCCATTTTGGGGTTGGTCCCACTGCATTTCCTGAGCCAGTCAAGGCTTTCTGGGGTGCAGGTGTCCTCCGGCACCTGGCCCAAGCGGGAAGTAGCTCCAGAGGCTTTGCTCTGTTTATCTAGCACCTGCAACCTTGGGAAAGGAAAACAAACCTTTATCTGCAAATAAACCAGGGGAATGGGGCCAGGCAGGGACAGAGACATGCTGTGCTGATCCTTTTCCTCCTCCTCCCCTGGGTTTGTCCTCCTCCAACACCAGCCCCTCCTGTGGGATGAGCCGTGCAACAGCCAGGGCCGGGATGTGGGAGGACCCGGCGATGGGATGGGGGCTGGATGATGAGCATGGTCCCCCAAAATCCCCCCTGGGATGTGGAATTCTTGCTTTTCCCACTTTTGGGAGAGAGGGATGAATCCAGTGACTCTGAAATCTCTTCTGATGCTGTGACCCAAGGGGAAAAACCCTGTTGCCCTGTTGAAGGATAGCATGTCATAAAAATTTGGGGGGGGTGGGGGGGGGGAGGGGAGGGAAATGCTGTTTATCCCTAATCTGGAAGATTCTGAGGGTGAAAATCTGTCCTGCAAGACACAGCTTCTGCAGCAATGGTTACCCACCCGACCTGCGACCCACTGGCAGCTCCAATGTCCGCCCAGCCCTGCCGGTAAATTCGGAGCAGAGCCTGCGGCGGAGCAGGGCAGGGCAGGGCAGGGCAGGGCAGGGCAGGGGGGACGCCCCAGGTGCTCCCACCCTGGAATGGCCGGCTGGATGCCACCAGGCTGGGTTACAAGATGCCAGTGCCACCTTGTGGCAGCTGCCTCAGGGTCCTGGTGTCACATGCCCAGGACACCCCTGGGGCAAGAGCAAGGACTTGTATTGGCGGGACCTCTGGCTGTCCTTGTCCCTATGGCTCCCTCAGCTCCAGCCTGGCCGGTGTCCCCATGGGATCCACGGTCTGGGGTAGCCTGACAAACCTCCTCAGCAGTGGATAGTGCTGGGCTGCTCCGAGGGCTATGGAAGCAGGGATACATGAAAGAAGGATGGATTTGGGAGTCCCCTGGAATGGGTTTGCTTCTGGAGCCAGGGGAAGGATTTTGCAACTCTTTAGATGCTCATGCGAGAGCTCAGAGATTCTTCCTTGGAGCCAATGGGTTCTGGCCTCACCTCCCTGGGCTAACGCTCCCTGGGTAACACTCACAGAGCTTTTGTTAGCAGCAAGGAGATGCTCTCAGCATGCAGAGAGAAGAGCTGGGAGTGTGCCGGTCCTGGCTGAATCCCTAAATCCAACTCAGCAAACTGTAGCTGGCTACATTTGGATTTTAAGCAATGCAGCTGGGAAAAAACATAAGGCTCCTGGGAGGCCAGTTTATTGAAGACATTTTTTGCTGGCACACAGCAACGGATCATGGGTGAGACGGCATCTGGTGCTTGGAAAAGGATATGAAAACATGTAGGAAGTTTGGGCTGACCTTGGCTTAGCGGATCAACGGCTAGATTGTTGGGGCAGCGGGAATCACAGGAACCCGTTCCCAGGGCTGCTTTGATGCTGGGCGTTCTGATAATGAAGGCACAAGGTGAAATGAGAGCAGCCCAGGGTGAGAGCAGTGAATGCTGGGCAGGTTGCCTCGGGTTGTGCTGGTTTGGAATGGGTGGCACAGCCTGGCTGAGCAGTGGGAAGCTGTGTTCCCGGGGAGCTGCTCCTCCAGGAGAGCTGGCAGAGCTCCGTGGGAGTGCTGTGTTCAGATGGAGCAGCCAGGGAAGAGCTGCTCTCCCCTCAGCAGTGCTGAGCCAGGCTCACATCACCAGGGCTGCTGTGCAGCATGAGGGACAGAGGGGTCACGATGGGGAAGGTTGATTTTGGGAATCCAGGAATGGTGAAGGGACCTGCTTCTGCCCTTCCTTTTTGGGACCAGAGCAGAGGTTTTTCTAGTGGCTCTGAGCTGCACGTTACAAACTGCTTTTAGAGCATACTTAGAGTGTTATGTTTCTGAGGAAGCTAAGGAGTGTGCTGCCAGTGCCAGAGGGTGTGGGATTAGGCCTTCCCAAAGCTGACATCATGAAGCATCGAGCCAGGGGCAGTTGCAGAATTTCAAAAGCCATTTCCTCATGCCAGTACTCCCTGTTGTGTCCTTCCCACCTGCCAGCCTGGGCTTTGTCTCCATGCTCTGTCTGCAGAGCACCTGCCCTCCTTCAGGACAAAGCCCTTCTGCTGCCACCCCAGATCTGCTTAAAACTGGTCATTCCAACCCCAAAAGGCACCTGTGCCCCTGCCCTGTGGTGGCAGGGATGTCCTCGCTGCCTGTCTGCAGCACTCCACTCTCTTCCCTTCAATGTGCAGTTCTGGGAGGGAAGGGAAAGCGGGGAGGTGCTGTGTCATTATCAGGGAGCCTGAGAGGCCTGGGAGAACAAGCAGGGTGTTCAGGAGATATAAATAATAAAATTATAAACCGAAAATCGTGCCCAGTGCTGAGAGGCTCACCCATCACCAGCTGCAGGAGCACACGGGGGTCATCCTGCATGGCCCCAGCTCTCTGCAGAAACCGGGAGTGGAAAAGCAGCTGGAATGGCATGGGAGCTCTGGGCTGCTTGGCCACGATGTGGAATAAACAGAATAAACGGTGCAAATAACCATGGAAACACTGCTCCCACTGGCCTCTGGTAGCTGGGAGATCATGGGGCTGCTCCCGTTTGTTGTGCACAAGGGTTTGGGCTGTGGAACCAGATCCCTGAGGATGCTAATGGGATGGGACGGATGCTTCTGGTCCTTCTGGTGGGCTGATCCCCCAGCGTGGGCAGCTGGGGAGGGGATTCTGCCCCTCTGTCCTGTGCCCAGGTGAGATCCCACCTGCAAAGCTGCTCCAGCCCTGGGACACAGCAGGAGGAGCTGGAGCTGCTGGAGAGAGCCCAGAAAAGGCACCAGGATGATCAGAGGGATGGAGCTTCTCTGCTGTGTGGAAAGGCTGAGATTGTTTAGCCCAGACTGGAGAAGCTCCAGGGTGACCCAATTGTGGCCTTCCATCACCTGAAAGGAACCTACACAAAAGACAGAGAGACTTTTTACAAGGGTTCAGGACAAGTCTGTCTCAAACTGACAGAGAATTGATCTAGATGAGGGATGAGGAGGAAATTCTTTGCCCAGAGAAGCTGCCCCATCCCTGGCAATACTCAAGAGTAGGCTGCATGGGGCTTGGAGCAGCCTGGGCAAGTGGGAGGTGTCTCTGCCATGGCAGGGCAGGGACTAGAATAGATCCAGTCCCAGATGTGCCCCTGGGTTTCCCCTGACAGGGCTTTCCCTGGCTGCAGGACAATGTCTGCATGGTGCCATGTCCCTGTGTGACGCTCCTGCTCCCTTTAGCCCAGGAGAAGCCATTCCCTCCTGCTGAGCCCTGCCACACTCTCCACTGGCCCTGGCAGCTCCTAGCACATGAACTGGTGGCTGGCAGCAGCCTGGCAACCCTTCTTCTGGTAGCCTGGCTCCCATCCATGGCTGGCAGCCTGGTCTGCCGGTCCCTGGGCTGTCACTGCTGCTCCCTTGGCATGCGGTGCCTCAGCGGGGCGGAACGAGGCGTGAGGGGGAAAACAGAGAAACCTCGGCTTTCCTTCCCCCACAGGCTGATTGCCGATGAACTGGCTTATTTTCCACCACCGTGAGAACTGGAAAATGCTGCTTCTAGCAACAGATGAGAAGAGGTGTTTGTGCTGGCGGGCGTGGGATCCCCTGGAGCGCTGCGCTGGACTCCCGCACGCTCGTGCCAGCAGATGGGACTGGGCTGAACTTTCCTGGAGCAAGATAATCAGCTTTAAAAATTCTTCTGGAGCCTGATTAACCCTCAAATGTACAGGATTTAGTTGTCATCTCGCATCTCCATCAGTGGATCTAAGCTGTATCACTGTAATCTTTTTCCGTGATTGCCCTGCTCTGGAGCTGCTTGGAGCATCTGCCACGGGCTGCCTCGAAGCTAGAGATCCCATCCTTCTCACAGGGACACATTTGGGAACTAATCACCACTTCCCAATGTCGGGAGCACTGGTGAGATCCTGGGAAGTATCAAACCCTCTGTGCTGCAGTTATTCCTGGCAAGGAAATCACTTCTATCCCGCATGAGACTATTTTGTTCAGGGGAGTAATCATGGAGGAGCACTGACATCGGAGAGAATAATTTTCCACCTTCCATCCAGTTTTGGAGGAAACCCAAGGTCTTGTGGGCTGGAGCTCCTGTTATCCTGGGCTCTGGTCTTCTCCCTTGAAGACAAAACATGAGGAGGAGATAAGATCAGCAAAAGCATGCAAAGCACTGAGCTCTGGAGAAATGTGCCAGGGACTTGGTTCTTATCAGACCTGTGGGCTCAGGATGGCATCAGTGCTGCTGCAGATGCTGCCAGATGTACAAGCAGGAAGGATTGCATCCCATTTCCTCGCTTTATTGGTGTTCAGGCTCTTGTCCTTCTCTGTGCCAAGAGCAGGGATAGGACTTGGGAGCATCCTCCCTCCTGGTGACCTACTACCTTATTGTCTTTATCTTATGTTGGCTTCAGCCAGCAATTCACTGTAATAGACCAATCAAAAGGTTTATCTCCCCACACCCAGCCAGACCTCTGGACCAGAGGATCTGTTTGTGTGTGAGCCAAACTATCTTCCGATGGATCATTTCCCTCCCTACACTTTGCTGTCCTGGTGGGTGCCCCAAACACCTCCTGGGTAGCAGTCCCACAGCCTCTGTTCATCTTCCCAAAGCCTCCCATCCCCACCTGCAGAGCTGCCCCAGCGCTGGGGTCCCAGCACAGGAGGGACAAGGAGATGCTGGAGCCACAGAGCTGCTCCAGGGCTGGAGCCAGGCTGGGAGAGCTGGGGGTGCTCACCTGGAGAGGAGAAGGCTCCAGGCAGAGCTCAGAGCCCTTGCAGGGCCTAAAGGGGCTCCAGGAGAGCTGGAGAGGGAGTGGGGACAAGGCATGGAGGGACAGGACACAGGGAATGGCTTCTCACTGCCAGAGAGCATGGATGGATGGGAGATTGGGAAGGAATTCCTGGCTGTGAGAGTGGACAGGTCCTGGCACAGGGTGCCCAGAGCAGCTGTGGCTGCCCCTGGATCCCTGGCAGTGTCCAAGGCCAGACTGGATAGGGCTTGGAGCAGCCTGGGACAGTGAAGGTGTCCCTGCCTATGGCAGGAGGTGGGAAAGAAAGAAGCTTTAAGATATTTTTCAACCAAAACCATCAGTGATTCCATGATTCTATCCCTCTAGCAGTGCCTGCTGTCACTATGGCAACCTCTGCAAGGACATGCCGTGGGCTGGGAGTGCTCTGCGGGACTGGGATGCTGTACGGGATTGGGATGCTGTACGGGATTGGGATGCTCTGTGAGATGTGGTCACACCGAGCCTGCTGCTCAGGGCCAGGCGATCCAATTAGAACTGATGGAGCCAGGGGAGGGCTACGATTCTCCTCCAATGCCTTTGGAATTGCCATCTGGAAACGCTCCTAAGCAAGGGGCTCATCCCGCAGGGCAGCGCCCCCGCCGTTAACTTCTCGAAGGGAACACGCGGTGCTGCGGGCAGCCCAGGGGGTACTGCGGGGCTCTGACGGGGAGGTGTGTGACTGTGGCTCGGCTCGGTGGCGCAGTATCCGTCGGTGGCAGCAGGGGACAGACGGGACATTGTTTCCGCACCGCGGCCGAGGCGGGACGCGAACCTGCGGTAGCCGAGCCCCGTCCCGCTCCCTGAGGCCGCCGGGAGTTGTAGTTTCTTCCGCATGCCCTATCTTCCCTTCCGCGCCCCGGGGACTACATTTCCCGTCATGCCCGCGCGGGGGGCGCGGCGGGGCGGTGGCTCAGGGCGGGCCGGGCCGGCGGAGGCGGCGGCGGTCGCTCCCCGTTAATCGCCGCTGGCAGCGCCGGCCGGGGATAAAACCCGGCCCCGCGGGAGCCCCCAGGCTCCCCTCGGCCTCCTCCGCCTTTTCTCGCCCCCCGGGCGATGCGCGGTGCGGCGGCGAAGTGAAGAAGCGGCGCCTTCTCCGTCCTCTTCCTCCTCCTCCGCGCGACCATGGGCGACTGCGGAGCCCCCGGGGACGTGAACTCCAACGTGCTGGTGGCCCGCAGCACCGGGGACGCGCAGCTGGACAAGGCGGTGTGGCAGTGGCTGAGCTGGGACAAGGTGGGCGAGCGTCGGCAGCTCCGCGGCGAGCGCTGCCCGCGCCCCTCCCGGCGCGACAGCGGCTGCGACACCCCCGTCCCTGCGCGGGGACTCCCCGCTGCCTCCCTGCCTGCCTGCCTCCCTCCCAGCGCAGCCCTGCCTCCGGCCGGTGCCGGGATGGGCGTGGATGGGGCCGTCCTGGCACCTGGAGCACCGGCCATGGCTCATTGGGCACAGATGGGTACTGATGGGACCGTCCTTGATTGATTGCTTGATTGATTCGGATTTGGCCACTCAGACAGTGTGCTGTTCGAGGGTATTTTGCTCATCCTGTCGTTGAAAGGGTTACTTTGGGTTTTTTTAGGGTTTTTTTGCAGCTGGTTTGTCCAACCATCATGGCCTAAAAAAATACCTTGATGATGGGGAGGGTAAGGTAGCAGTGCACCAGTGGTTTGGGCTTCTGACTGCTTTGCCTTAATTTTTAGGTTTCTCCCTCCTGAACCTCTTTTGCTTTTATATTTATTAACTAGGACCACCCGTGTGTTGGTTCTGTTCCCTCCTCAATTTTATCCTGCTAAGATGAAAGCGGGAGGGCTGCTTTCAGGCAGGTGCCACCTGATGGCTCCAAGATAAGCTTTCTCCTGCCTGTAAATGTGCTCTCTCCTGCCGGCTTTGCCGAAATTAACAGGTGCCATCTGCACCTCCTGCGCTTGGAGCTGCTGCTGTGAAAATATCCGGGAACAGCAGCCTGGGGGAGGGAAGGAGTGCAGGAAGGAAACAGTATTCCTGATAACACATTTGATAACCCAGGGTCAACTCCAGTAAGTATTTTATTTTAATGACGTCTTGTTAGTGTATTGAAAGGCTTCTGTTGTTTTTTAACAGGTTGTTTTGTCTTTCCTTGGGGGGCTGTAATTAACCAGTGAAATGCAAACGCAGGGTCAGTGTGAGTGTACCTGTTCGCCCTTGCTTCCCCAGGTGACAAACATCACCTTTCCTGCTCGAACTTGGAGCATTCAGGACTACTTGGAGAGGTTTCCAAGAGAAATCTGACAACTCAAAGTTACCGGGAGGAGGAGGACTGGGGGCTGCTTGCTGGGGCCAGGGGTCGTTCAGGAAAGGTGTTAGCCAGCCAGGGGAAGGTGTTGTGGGAGGGAAGGCAGGGAGAAAGCAGGGAATGTGGCAGGGGCAGGGATTGCTGGTCCAGTGCCCTGCTGTTTTCCCACAAGCTGAGGAAGTGGGACCTTTGGTGCTTATCAGCCTTGACCCCCCATTCCCACCCCCAGCTTCCTGAGCTGCAGGGATTTTTGCTGCCTCTAATAAAGGAAAAATCTATGCACTGCGTTCCCAGCTGCGGGAGGCTTTTGTCCTCCAACTTAATTGAAAATCGTTGTTTGTAATTAATTACCAGAGCTGTGCTCTGTGTCCTTTGTGGCTTGGGTGTTGGTGCTCACCTTGCCCAAAGCCCTGGGTGGGTGGAGGAAGCCTGGCTGTGGGATGAGTGTCCTGCTTTCCTGCCCTTCTCACCAGCCCCCTGCATTTTCACCAGTGCCCCTGGCATTCCCCCCTTGCCATCCTCCCTCCTGGGTTACTGCTTTGAGCCAGACTTGGAGGCACAAGGCAGAGCTTTTGAGCAATCCTCCTTGGTAAAGTATGTCAACAACTAGTAATTGGTCTCCACTTTCTCCCTTTAATTCCCTTTCATCCACTTCCTGATTTTCCTATTTTACTTCCATGTGTGCCTCTGGTTTCCTGAGGGAGCCTGGCTTGTGTGGCAACTGCTCCTGCCTGGGCTACCTGGGGAGGCTTTGGCTCCTGAAAGGCACTGCTGGAACTCTACACAGTGGGGAGAGCTGGAATTCATTACCCAGGAGCTGTTTGTTCATTCATTGAATCCTCCCTTGGTTTTACTCGTTCATGGGCTCGGGATCCCTGTCTCAGCTGCAGTGTGCAGGCTTCCTCCTTCCTGATTAGGTGGTTCTGGGGTGCTTTTGAGCTGTCCCTCGATGTTCTTCTAATTTTTGTGGCTTTCGAGATGCTTTCCAACAGGAAATGGACATGACAGTTTGAGACCAGTAACTTGATCCAGTTATTTACTTGAAATATTTTTGCTTGTTGAGACTTCTAAGTGAATTTTTAAGAATAACATTGGGGTAAATGAAGGCCACAGAAAAATTCACTGAAGCTCAAACCAACTTGAGGCTTTTCACCTTCCTTCAGCTACACATGCATAGAGTGTGCAAAACAACAACAACAAAATTGCTGTGGGTAGTAAATTATTTTGACAGAGTATTAGCTTTGAAGCCTAACTCCGGTGGTAAGTGCCCGTGATAAACATGATTGGGTGTGAAAGAGCCATAAGAAATACCCAGCTAATGGCCTTGTCTTTATTTCCCCACTTGTTCCAAGTGTTGAACCCTGTTGAGCCACAAAAGTGTGATTCTGCCTCAGCAGGCAGCTGTGCACTACATGGCAAGCTGACAATTTGGCAGAGAAGATATATATTTTTTCTTTTTGCTTAATAATATTTCAAACCTCTCTGAAATGTGTTGCAGAGTCTCCTGCAGGTTGTGACCCCAGAGTTCTGAATCTGGCAGTGATTTCTTATAAACAGGTTTTTTTAATATATAATGAATATTTTTAGAGGGAAAATAATTACAGAACTATTAATAATTAAATAGTTAAAAATATTTTTCTGGTGTTTATGTGAGCACAGGACAGTGTTCAGTATGTCACCCACACAGCAGCCTGGCTGACTGTGTCCCCAGTGTTTGATTTCCATTTCTCTATGACCAGGAATGGGAATTACTGCAGGGAGGGTTCTGCCAGGCTCGCTGTCTCTCCTCACAGCCTGGCAGTGATGCCAAGTCCTGCTCCCTGGGGTGTTCTGGGGACAGGTCCTGGGCATGGCAGGGAGAACACAGTTTGGGCTCTGCTCCTTCTGCATTCCCACCTATCCATGGCATGCCTCAAAGGTGCTGGAAAATCGGGATATCACTCAAAACGGCCATGTGTTGGTGGGAACTGGGGGAGGGCAGAGGGACAGTCCTGGCCAGGGGAGGAGCAGGGATTCCCTGTGGCAGTGCCAGCTTGCCCATCCCCAGCCCAAACACCAGCCAGACCCCTGTGCTGCTGTCCCTTTCCTGCCCCAGCAGGGTGTGTTCAGGCAGCACTAGTCTCTCACAGGGCTGCTGTCACCTTATCTGTCACATCCTTGTGCAGCTGGCCATGGGCAGGAGCCTTGTCCAGAGGCAGCTGGCGCCTGTTGCCTCTTGATTGTGGCCTGGCCTTTGTAGGCTGTGCTAAACATTTACAGATGTGTGCTCCACAGACACCAGGGACAGCATGGACATAGATTAGTTAAGTGTACATTATATATATTGGGTCAGTATCATTTAGTTATTATATACACCTTTATATTGGTCAATATAATTTTTATTATCTACACATTTATAGTGGGTCAGTATCATTTTTTTATTATATGCACCTTTATAGGGGGTCAGTATAATTTATTTATTAGCTACCCCTTTAGAGTGGGTCAGTATCATTTATTTATTAGATACACCTTTATATTAGGTGTCCTAGATTTGTGTACATATATGTGTCTACTAGAGAGGTATCATGTGTTTATTTATACAAGTATTATGAAGTAGTCCTGGTGTTTGAGGAGGGTGATCAAATAAAAAAATGTCTAGATGATCAAATAAACCAATATCTATTTTCTATAGAGAGCATCCACCTACTGCTGGCCTTCAGGTGGAAGCCTGCAGCCTTTGAGCCAGGCACTCCCAAGAACTGGAATTGCTCTGTTAGAGCTGCTGGAATGCAGGCATGCCTTAAAGCATTGCTTTTTGGAGAGCTGACTATTTCTGTATCAAACAGCCTCCCTTATTTCTGCTGAAGACAGGAAGCTTTAGGCAGTTTTGTATCAGGTAGATTTTTTTAAAGGATATTAATTAATCATTCAAACATTTTATTCTAAAATCTCTAAGGAACTTTTATTTTTTGCTCTTGGGAAGATGAACCATCACAAAAGCCCCCATGAGACCTTCAGCTGTATGACCTCATATCATAACTACCAAGCAAGCCAGCAAAACCTCTATTTTTTTTTTTTTTTTTCCGGGGTTTGCAGTGGGGTTAAGTGTCAGCAGTGGAATTCCCAGGTCAGGGTGGCAGATGGTGCTCAGAGCCAGGCTGGGTGTTGCAAGAAGCTCAGCTGGGCCACAGGATGTGAAGCTCCAGCTTGGGATAACAGGGCAAGCTGGGAAGCATAGGAAGGAGTAAAGGTGATGCCAGGCTGGGATAGGGGCAGTCAGGGGGTCAGGCTTATCCAAGCTTGGAGATTTTCACTTGTAACTTTTTTCTCCTCTAGTTTCTGCAGCTTCAGCTTAACTGAATGTGACCTGGGCAAATTAAAATGTTACTCAGGTGCTGGTTTGGCCAACTCATTTTTATTCCTTAGGCAATTAAGTTTCTTCAGTCAAAAATGCTTGTTAATCTATTTTTAAAAGAAATGTTTGTGGTCTTGCTCGAGTATTGCCTGAGTTTTGCAAAGCTCCATAAACTATAGGATGTGTAATTTCTATTCTGTTTTTTCAGGAAGCAATGCAGTGTGTCCTAAAAAGCTGTAGAGGATGCTGTGCAATTTAATAACTGTATTTTAAAGCCAAGCCATGTGCTGTCACAGCGTGAAATGAGGTTCTCAATACTCTTGCCTTAGACTCTTCACATCAGTCATTTGTTTTCTGGTTGGCTGCGTATGAACAGCTGAGAGAGAAACTTCCACTTTTGCAGTTGAACATCTATTGTGCCCCATTGTTTTGCTTTCTTTTTAGACCTGTGTTTAGCTGTGTAGTGAGCAATGCCTTGCTTTGGTTGCCAGGCCATCCAGGAGCCTGGACAATAATGGCTTACCTTTTATTTCAGAGCACACAGAAATAAAAATAAGAAATAAAAAGTGATTTGAAATTCACATGTTGAGTGTTCAGGATCTGCTGTCAAGCTGCAGGAATTATTTCAGATTTTTCAGTGCATTTTATTGATGATTTTTTTCTTCCAGTGAATGTGCCCAGCTCATGGCTTTGTGCTTTTCCCAGTCCTGCTGAAGAGCCTCCCCGTGTCTGTGAGGAGTGTGTTCCAGTGCTGCTGGAGCTGGCTGACCTCTCTTTTAAATGTCAGAGGAGCCTCACCCCTGCCCTGCATATTCCATTTGCCTTTTCTAACCTTTCCTTGCCACTCTGCTTGAGGCAGCACGGCTTTGGAGGAGCACTTGTGCCTCCAGAGCTGTGTTTTACACCTCTGCAGTTTTCTCCAGCTGTGTGAGCACTGCCTCTCACTGCTTCTGCTGTGTGTATGGGATCTGGGAAGTGCCCTGGCCAAACCGGCTGTCAGTAGGCAGGCAGAGCTGCTTGGTGGCTAGATTAATTCAGTAAAAGTTGGATAGCTGCGGAACAGGCAGTAGAGGTGTGCAAAGCTGTGATGGTAGTGTGGATTTAGGGAAATCCTGCCTAAGCAAGGGGGATCAGTCGGGGTAAGGATCCAGCCTGCTGCAAAACACCCTGTCCACTCTTGGAGGGGTTTAGGAGCCTGGTCCAGTGCAAGGTGTTCCTGCCTGTGGAATGGGCTGGTCTCCAAGGACCCTTCCAGCCCAAACCATCCTGTGATTTTCAGGGTTTTACTGTGCCTCTTTCCTGTGGGTGGGGAGGAAGGAAATGCTGCTTCGAGGTTTGGATTTTTGTCAGTCCTCCAGGGGCAAAGATTGGCAGTGGAATTGTTGTCTGCCCTGGAAAAACCTGTTCCAAAGGCACTGCTCCTCAGGCAGAGGGGCTGGCAGGTGTCTTAATGACCAGACAATCACATCACCACATCAGTGGCAACAGGAGCTCTTGAGTCCTTTGTTAATAATGATAATATGGGAATAACGTGAGAAACGAGGTCCAGTGGAGGCTGCTGCACATGCTTTTTATAGGATAGGAGGGATTTGCTCTGGGAATTACCTCAAACTGATGAGCATGCACAGTTGAGCCCCTGATTCCAAGCACTGAACGAGGACCTTCACCTTCCCTTGCAGAACCAGAAAACGAAGGAACAGATTGAGAGCCTGCTGCAGGATGGGAAACACAGGGAGCTGCGGGAGCGCCTGTGCTGCCGCCTGAGCTTCGGCACGGCCGGGCTGCGCTCGGCCATGGGAGCGGGCTTCTGCTACATCAACGACCTCACAGTCATCCAGTCTACCCAGGTGAGCTGGGCATGGCTCTGGGGCAGCCTCTGCCCCATGGGATCGGCTGCAATCCTCTTGAAACCCCCGAGGTGGGTGGGAGCATGGAAGGCTCAGTGCTCAGAGGAGATGAGGTGGCTTGGAGAGCTTTGGCTGGGCTGGAGTTTGGCCAGCGGTCACTCTGCTACACAGCCCCAAAGTTGGAAGTCTTGTGAGCTGCCGCAATAACTTGTAATACTTGTGGTACAGTATAGAAATACTCGTAGTATTTCACAAACAAAACAACAAAAATAACCCAAACAAAAGAAGCAAAACCCCAGCCAAACAAAAATTTTCTTTTGTTTTCAGCACAAGTTGTGGACCTATATGGACTGAGTATATGTCATCTCCTGAAACAGTTTATTTGTGCCCACCTCTAGCCTTCACTGTTGGAAACAGAGTGAGCTGGTATATTTGAAGCCCTTGTGCTTAGGAAATCAACAAAATGTTTGTTAGGACAAGACTGACTTTTACCTATTTTGATAGATAATTTTTGTAGAAAATATGTTTCAGCTGTATTTAGCAAGGCTTGGTTAAACCCCTCATTTAATACTGTGCACCCAAACTTTTCTGCTGGTTTCTCTTGCAGGCTGATGCTCTAACATCCCTCAGGACATGTGACTGAAATAGCGCTTTCTGCTGGCCTAGGGTGGAGGGATGTGCTTAGAGCTTGGAACAGCTGGGACTCTCCTAAGCTGTTTGCCATTCTGCTGTCTGGGTTGTACAACTGGAGCCCGCACTCTCGTGGAGAGGCTGAATTCCAGTACTGTTTATGGAGGCTTTGTTTTGCAGTGTGGGTTTGCAGCCCAGCCTTCTCTCTGACAGTTCTGCTCTGCAGTATCCTCTTGACTCTAACAAAAAGCTTCCTTCAGGTGTCTGACCTGCAGACTGGACACATCCTAGGATGATTCTTCCTTCCCTTCTGCCCTACCTGCTGCAGGTGTGCCAGCCTCTGCCAAAAAGGCTGCAATGGCAGGAACAGGTCCAAGCAGACTTTGCAGAGGGAGCAGATTAAGAAAAAGGGTTTTAACAGTCAGCATTTTGCTGCCAATGGGGGGATTGTTAAAAGCAGCCGAGCTGCTGTGGGAAGGCCTGTTTCCTTGGCAGCAGAGGAGGTTTTTGGGAGTGAATTCCCTGCTGCTGGGTTTAGGGGTGCTGGCTGTTGCCTGCTACCTTTGTGGCTTGGGCTGGCGGAGTGTGGGGCTGCTGGCTCAGCCATGCTCCTGGCACAGAGGGAAAGCTTCCCTTTTGCTGGGCAGGGAATGCTTTGGCAGGCTCATTGTCATCAGCACTGCTGGTTTTTGGGAGTTCCAGACCGGGTGTGTGTGCTTCTGCTCCCTCTGCACAGCTGCTATTTTTAGTTGTTTATTAGAGCTTCAGATCAGGCTGGGGGAAGTGGATTGGAACTTGTTTCTGAAGCAAACTGCAGTGGATTTTGGCTTTGTTTGAGCATTCATGTTCCTCAGAAGCTGAGGCAGGAACAGCTCTGCTGAACCTGGTGTGTGCACAGGCAGCCCTGGCTCTCTGGGTTTGCCGTTGCCTGGGACAGGAATAAATGGCCAGCAGGCTTGGGTGTAATTAATACTTCTTCAGTTAAAATAAGCTGTAGTGAAGTTGCACATATGTTCTGTGTCCTTCATTTGAGCTGATTTTTTTTTTTTTTTTTTCATTTGCTCTTCATTTGATTTGATTATATTGATACTATGAAAAGTCAGATCTAGGAAGGTGCAGAATATTCAGCAGTTGCTGTGGACTCTGCTTAAAATTGCAGGTACATAAACTCTGTGTAAAGCCCAGGTTCCCTGGCTTCTGTCCTACTTTGATGCATGTCCAGGTGCTTTTATTGGTGGGGAAGAAACCTGTCACTGAGCTCCACAGTGACAAAACCAGCCAGCTTCGCATCAAGGCATTTCCTGCTGCTTAAAAAGCAAAGATAAAGGTAAAAGATGAAAATTTTAAATGCTGGGCATTATAAAGCTGTTCCTACCTCTCTGGATTTCATCAACCAAAAATCTATTTCATTCATGATGCCATCACTCTTCCCTCACTTTTCTTTTGAGCTCGAGCATCAGAGACTGGACATGCTGTAGATGTAGACTTGTTCTGTTCCATGGATTTTGCAACAGGAAATCACCTGAACCGAGCCGTGGGAGAATGGGAGTCACCTGAGGAGAATTTTTGGCTTAGATCTTAGTGCTGACACCTGCTAATAAGCCATTAATGAGATGCACTTGTGCCTCCTTCAGAAGTGGTGGAAGCTTAATAGCAGAAGTAATTAGGGACACTATCAAAACCTGAGTCTTGTTAAAGGGAAATAGAAATTCTTTATATTGAGAATCTTCCAAGAGAGGACTTAACACCAGAGGTGTTGGAATTCCTAACTGCCCTTGGGGCACCTGGGAGAAGATGGGTGTGAGCTCAGGTGGAGGGTTTAGACAGTGGAGAGGCTCTGTACTCACTTGCTCACTAACATTTGCTGATTTACTTTTATTTCCTGCAGCTTTCATAACAATGTTTGGATAGCGGGCAAGCCCTCTAGGACTGAGAGAACTTCAGGTGTGGAGTCTCTGTCTGAACTTAAGGGGCTCATTTGAAGCAAACTGCTCCATAGCAGAAAGTAAAGACATTCCTGTTTTTCTTCATACAAAATCTTAGCCTAAGTAAGGGGTCTGTTATAAGAAATGTGCTGTTCATGTCTTTAGATGTTATTCAGGTTGCTCAAGTCAACTTGAGGAGTTTTTCCCATTCCTCTCTCTCCTCCTTGCAGCTGATCTTCCCATCCAAGCTATTTCCTGATTTTTAGGCAAATTTAGGACCGACACTTTGGGAACAATGTTGAAAATGTTTGACTTGTTCTGTGGGCAGAGAGATAAAGACCAGGCTGGCACATCTGATATTGCCTGAGGGGATGGACTTCTAAAACATGGGTTTTTCTCAATTCAGTTTTGAGAAGACGATTTGAATAAATGAAGCTACAGTATGGATTGAAAATGAGTGTTTGCTTCTTGAGGGTTTGTTGTTGTCCTGCTCACTTTTATTTCCCACAGCAGTTTCTCTGGTTACTTTTTCAGTGAACACTGGGGGAAAGCCACTGCTGTTTTTGTGAATATTGTTATGGATGTGTTTGAGCTGTATTTTACCTACTGACATTATCCATCCTTTGTGCAAGATCACCTTTAGTGTTTGTGTGTGCTGCAGTCCAGCTAATTATTTTCTCTCTTTTTTTTTTTTTTTTTCCTCCAGGGGATCTACAAATATCTCGAGAGAAACTTTTCAGACTTTAAGCAGAGAGGCTTTGTTGTTGGCTATGACACACGAGGTCAGGTCACCAGCAACTGCAGCAGTAAGAAGTATGAGTATTGCTTACATTTGCAAGACTAGAAATGAAATTGTGGCTTTAAATGTGTTCTGTCGTGTCAGCACTCTTTCTCTTTGCTTGGGGTGAACTAGGCACACTCTTTCCTCTCCCTCAGTCCATTGCAACAGTAATGAGGAGAGGCTGGGATTAAATCCTTTGTGATACCAGTTTGCCAGCAAAGGAGGAGTACAAGGCTGCTTGCTCCACCAGAGAATTTACAGATTAAATGCACAAGAATGTTAGGCTTAATGTGCCTAGAGGGAAATTTGAACATGAAGGTAAATTTAGAGTATTAACATCCATCTGGAAACCCCTAAATATTAATGTACTTTTTACACTGTCATTCTCTGGTATGTCACACCTGATTTAAGCTTGCTTGGGTGGGGGGGGACAATTCCATCTGCAGCCTGCTATAACCCAGTGTATTTTCACTTTGAGGGGATTTTACCTGGAATGCTTAAAATGTAGGCTTCCAGCAATGGAACTGTGCCCTTGGCAAGGAAAGGGGAGAAAATTGCTTCCTGTATTCTCTAAGGAATCTTAATCCCTTGCTGGGGAGAAAAACACATGTGAGGATGGTATGCTGTGCAAAAAAGCCAGCCCAGTACCTAGTTTGTATTGAGGCAATGAGAAGTTAATTGTTGTAGTTACTGTTGTAACTAACAGTTCTTTTTTTCTTAGTAGTATTTATGTTTTGGGGATGAAGAAGTCCAGTAGAGCACAGAATGCAGTGAGTCTCTCCTCTCCTCTGGGCCTCAGGATGTGTGTGGCCCATTTTCCCCAGGTTTTGGTGTGAGGAGTTTAAACTCACTGGTGATACTGAGCTTTCAAACCCAGACTGTGTGGGTTAGACACAGTCTAAAAATGGGAAGGTGTAAGAGGGATGTTCCTTTTTTGCCCCTCAAAGCCTGCCCTTCAGCCTGGATGGTTTACAAGGTTCCTGACTGTGTGTTTCTCCTGTCCCCTGGCATCCTACACCCTTCCAGCAGTGCTGAAATCCAGCTGAACTCCCCCAAAAGAGCTCCCAGGGGGTGCAGAGTGCTTTACTAGCGCTGTGGGATGGCAGGTCACACAGCTGTGTCCTGTAGCTGAGTTGGTGTGACCCAAGCAGAATTTTAGTAGCTTCAGCTTGGAACTGAGCTCTCAGACCCACCCAGGTGGTCTCAGGTGACATTTGACATGTGCTGTAGGAACTCTCAGTCTGTGGGGTTGCTGCTGATGGAGAGAAGCAAGTCAGTACTAGTGCTTGGCTGTGAGAACAAGGCAGCAAGGTGAGCTTACCCCATTTAATATCTCCTCTGTTTTGCTTCTGAGACTACCCTTTATCTCCTGGGCTGTGCAAAAGAAGCTTGATATCTGTTACTTGGAAGAGAATGAACCTCCCTGGTGCTTAAAAGGGCAAGTTTATAATAAAGTGAGAATTAGAACTATGGACACTGTTCTTGTTTCTAAATATTCTGGAATGAAGGGTGCTGCTTTGCAGCAATATATTTTAGGATTAGATCTGCTTCCTGGGCATTGTCTGAAAGTGCTGAGCTGGGCTGGAAAAGGAGCCTCATGTGGGATACCAAATCTTTTTCCAAACCTGCTGTTGCAGACATCTGGTACTTCAAACTCTCTTGAAAGCTGGTTCTGTCCTTGAGCTGAGGGTTGGGTGTTCTGTGTATCTGTGTGGGACATCTGCTTTGTTTGGGTGAGGGGCTGAAGTGCCTTGCACTGCCCAGGCAGCAGCTGAAAGTGCTGGCTCACATTTTACAACCTGGAAACTCTGACCCTGACAGTGCAATTTGTAGGATACCACTCCAAGCATAAGCCAAAAAGTAGTGGAGTGCCTTAAGAAACAAGTGCCTGGAGGTGACCGGAATTCCATCTTGCTCTTGGGCTGTCCTGGGGAGCTGGGGTGACTGAGTGTTTTCTTTTTCCTGTTGGTAGGCTTGCAAAGCTCACTGCAGCAGTCCTGCTGGCAAAAGATGTGCTTGTGTATTTCTTCTCCACCTATGTCCCTACCCCCTTTGTGGTGAGTCACATTCTCGTCCTATTGTTGCAGCACACAGTTATGGGAGTATTTGAATTTACTAAAAAAGAGAGCTTCAGTTTTCTTAAATTCTGTTTAACACAAAAATGGAGGCTGCTTGGTACACTTGGCTCTTCAAGGAGGCTGTTACAAGGATGTCACCAAATTCCTCAGTGCCTCTGCTTTTAAGATATCAAGAATAGGCTCTTCCAGTCATGGGAGCTTTTCTGTGCGTGGTTGTAAATCCTTGCTTGTATTCCATGAGCTCTCCCAACATGCTGTGTGTTCTATGGATCCTGGTTTGAGGGGAGGACTGGAATGCCTGGAGAACCTGTGATTTGTTCTTCAACAGGCCTTTCTGTGAATTCCTTTGTTCTGTTTCAGCCTGTTTCCAAGGGCTCCTGTAATCTCAGTGTAGACTTTTGGCTGGTCAGTTAAGGATTTTTGCAATTGTTAAAAAAGGGAATGTTTTTCTGGAGTGGAGTTAGAGCCAGTTTTCTGCTGCTGGCTGCAGGAGACAGAGCGTTGGTGTGTGTGGTTTTCAGATGGGCTGGGGCAGGGTTGCAGGCAGCCCTGGTGTGCTGGGGCAGTGTTTGTGGCAGTTTGTGCTGAGGGCTTTCTCTGCTCCTTTGCAGCCCTATGCCGTGCAGCAGCTCGGGGCCGTGGCTGGGGTCATGATCACTGCATCCCACAACCGCAAGGAGGACAATGGCTACAAGGTGAGGCCAGTGTCACCCTGCCCTGCCAGGGACAACTTTCCCTAGCCCAGGCTGCTCCAAGCCCTGTCCAACCTGGCCTTGGAACCCTCTGGGATGGGGCAGCCTGTGCCAGGGCTCCCCTTTCTGTGTGTGTCCACTGGAAGAATAACTTATGTAAAGTAATTAATCCTTCTACAGCCTGGCACACTCCTCTGTGATGAGAGCATAGGAGCACACGGTTTGTGTATCTTGAACATAAATATGTAAGGACATTCCACGGAGTCTTATCTGCAGCTGAAGAAGTGCTCCAGCAATTTGTGTGTTAGCTGCTGAGGCTTAAAACTCAGTTTAAAACTAAGCCAGAACTGAGGTGCATTCATGCACACAGTAGGGGACTGTGCTGAAGATGAGAATGATTTAAGAGTGGATTAATAAAACAAGGTAGCATTGTGTTGTTCCCTGGTTTTCTGGGCATTGAAACAGGGGTGGTGGCAGGGGTGTTGCTTCACTTGAAAATCAAAGCCTGGGACAATCAAATCATCCACAACATTAAGTGCTTTAACTGAGTTTAAGTGTTCTGAGTATTTCCTTCCTCAGCTCTGTAAGAAGCTGAACTAAACTCTCAACTTTAGCTGAGCATTCTGAAAGCCCTGTGGCAGGTCAGTGAGTGAGGAAAGGCAGAGAGAGCTCCCGGGGGTGATTGAACTGCTCTCACCTTCCCTGGAACAAGTTGTGAAGTTTTTCACCAGCCTTTGCTTCTGCTTAGCTGGAGCAATGAGTAAGGAAAGAAGCCACATGAATTTCCCAGGTGCTTCATTTGTCAAGAAGCAATTTTGTTTGTGTCTTCTGATACACAGCAGTTTACTTCTGCCAGGACCCTGGTGTGTTTCCTGGTTTTTCCCAAGAGCTGTTCCATCTGTCACAATTTCCCGTGTGAATTTCAGCAGCTTCTGAAGGTTTTGGGCAATGTTAACTGAAGGTGAGAAAGCAAAGGCAGATCATCTGAGCAGAGTCTGCACTGTGAGCCCAGCCGTGCTGTTGGCAACAGAGTGTGGGAAAGATGGCCTCTAAATCTTTAACAAAGGCTTTATTATATTATAGCTGAGCTTAGATACGGTGTTTCCACTCTAGAGGGTGTTTCCAGCCCAGAGATTAGTGTTGTTCAGCCATGGAAAAATACGGACCTTGGCACACTGCTTATCTGTTTTGCTTTGGGTTCAAAAACAAGCTGTGTTCCTTTTCCAAGAGGAACACCAGCCTTGGAGAGGGTGATACTTTTCTAGTGTTAGTTTGCACTCCTTGATACAAGTGCCTGGTTTTGGTTTCTCACATCCTGATATTTCAGTTCAAATTATTACATTTGAACAATTATTGCTATTATTTGTGAAATCAGATTGTGTTGCTGTGTTAGCTCCATTTATCAGTTGTGAACTTAGAGGTTCATGCTGGATGATTCCAAATGAGAATGTCTTGAGAATCAAGCCAGTCAGATGCTGATTTCTCTGTATGGCTTAGCAGAAAGCAAGTGGAATCCTATAGCTAAAATAATGTATCAGGTTAATAATCTTCATAATTAAACTGTCTTGTTTTCCTTCAACTTACCCCAGGTTTATTGGGAAAATGGAGCACAGATCACCTCTCCTCATGATAAGGAAATTATAAAATGCATAGAGGAGTGTGTTGAACCCTGGAATGGCTCTTGGAATGAAAGTCTGGTAGACACCAGTCCCCTCAGACAGGATCCTCTGAAGAAAATTTGTGACAGCTACATGGAGGACCTGACAAAGATCTGCTTTCATAGGTATTGTATAAAGCAAAAAGTGCCCGAATTGTGTTTTAAAGTAAGCTGTGGGTTGCATGTGGAAAAATTGACTGTAGATAGACTTCACTGTGTTCCCTGAGGTGCCTTAAAATTCAAGGGTCACCATCCTTAGGGTTAAACAGTTTGAGAATAAAGCAGCTGCCTTTGGGGATTAAGTTACTGTGAAACATCCCAGTGGAAACCATTTAATGCAAGTGAATATGCTCTAAGAGTTCTGAATAAAATGCAGAACTTCAAAGTGAGGTGCACATGCACAAAACAGATTCAGTCTAAAGGTTAGGTGGGGCAGAGGATAAGAATAAAAGGAGGAGGATGAGTGGCATGAAGCAGATCTGGAATAACAGAGTTTAAGGTGGTGGAAGAGTTTGAGTCTTGGGAGACTTTGATCTGTTTCGGCAGAAGGTAAATACTTCATTTTCCAGGAGAAGCAGCTTTAATCCAGCAGTTTCTAGTGCAAAATAAGCACTTTCACTCATTCCTTTGAAATTAATGCAGGAATTAGCAGAACAGTACACAGAGGAACTGCAGTTTACTTTGCTTTCCCTGATGAAAACAGTCTTGTTGAAGAGCTGAGATACTACTGAAGCTGTGTTTCCTCCTCAGGGAGCTGAACATGCAGAGCAGTTTGAAGTTTGTCCACACCTCTTTCCATGGAGTTGGCCATGACTATGTTCAGTTGGCTTTCAAAGCCTTTGGGTTCCAGCCCCCCATTCCAGTCCCGGAGCAAAAAGATCCAGACCCAGACTTCTCCACTGTCAAGTGCCCAAATCCTGAAGAAGGAGAATCTGTGCTGGTATTTTGATTTCTATTTCATCTGATTTCCGTGGGGAAAAACAGACTGAGGAAGAGAACAGGGAGAACCTGCTTTCTGTTCTGTCAACACAGTGGGCAGTCCATGGGAGGTTTTCTTTCACTGGGTGTTAGATGGAAGTAGGGAGGCTGTTAGTTTATTTACTCTTACGTTTTGGATTTTTTAATCCTTTCTTCTCCCACCAGGAACTGTCACTGAGGCTTGCAGAGAAAGAAAGTGCAAAAGTAGTAGTGGCCACTGATCCAGATGCAGATCGTCTGGCAGTGGCAGAACAACAGGAAAAGTAAGTGATGGGACCCTTTTCTGTGTCTTCCTGCAGAAAAGGTGGTGAGAGCCACAGAGCGGCCCCAAATGGTTGCCAGACACAGGCCTCCAATCCACTCCTTTCCTTGGGTATATGGATATTTTTCCTTCTAGCTTTATCCTTTGGTATAGCTCAAAATGCATTTTAAATCAGTTCACCCATCAAAGAGTCAATTAAATGCTTACTGGTGTAATAGTAAATGGCCAAATAAAGCTCAGCTGAAAACAGAATGATTACTAAAGACAGTAAAATTCTTTGTTTGCTGTGTTTTAATTTAGATCAGGCCAACCTTCCTTGGTGGTTGTCATGGGCTTTTTTGGTGGAGCGGGTTTTTTTGGTTTGTTTTGTTATTTTTAATTTTAATCCTTTGTTTTCCCCTACTTGTTCATATTGAACAGAAATTATTTTTCTCCCACTAACAGGCCCCAGTTCTGATGGTTGTGTAAGTAAAAGCTGAGCAGGCTCTGCCTGGCTGCAGTGTTCAGGCTGCCTAGACTGCTCTGTGTGGATCAATTCCAGACAGCTCTCCTGTTGCTGGGTCATCAAAGGCCTGAGCTGCCAGAGAGGAGACCCTGGGGAGTGCCTTTGGGCTCTGGGCTTGTAAATCCTTGAGGTGTGATAGGTGTGGAATCTGTCAGTACAGTGGCTTTGCTTAGAGCAGCTTTTTAGTGCTATGCTCACATTCTGTGTTCAGTGACTGCAGAGTTCCTGCTCAGTGACTGCAGAATTCCTCTCCTCCAGCCTTGACCTTGCCTCTCTGGGTGTTCAGTGCCTGCAGGGTTCCTCACCTTGCCTCTCCCTGCAGTGGCTGCTGGAAGGTGTTCACGGGCAATGAGCTGGCAGCCCTGTTTGGCTGGTGGATGTTTTCCTGCTGGAAGGAGAACCGCCCCCAGGATGCTGACATGAGGAATGTTTACATGCTGGCAACCACGGTCTCCTCCAAGATTTTGAGGGCAATTGCACTTAAAGAGGGATTTCACTTTGAGGTGAGTGTGGGTTGTGTGGTGCTGGCTCTATCCGAACCCCTGCTGGTGACCTCATGGAGTGAAAAGTGGGCAGGGGACTCCCAGGCTTCTGGCTGGGAATTCTGAGGGATTCCAGCTTGCAGAGAAGGAAATCAGGCTTGTGTGGGTGAAAGAACTATCCCCTCAGTGTTCTGGGACTGGGAGATCAGTGTGGGCAAAGCTCAGTCCCAGGGACACAAATTAACACCTGAATTGCAGGTAACAGGATATCATATATATATTCAGATAACCACAGCTGTGGTTATCTGAAATCTTTGTGTGAGAGAAGGGAGATTTGTGCAGCCTGCCCTGCTCACTCTGAGTGTTGATGGGTTTGTAGGAACTTGGAGGTTACACAATGGCCCCTCAGGTGCCTGTGCCAGTGGGTTTTGAATTTAGGTTTACTTCAGGCAGAGGAACTCCTGTGTTCAGATCATTAATATGCAGCTTTAAGAACCTGCTAAAAAAGAAACTGGGGGTGCTCCCCCAAGACTGACAGTTTAGTTCCTGCATCACATAAAATGGTACTCCTGTTAGATGTTAGCCAGAAGAGAGTGAAGTGCCCAAGATCATAGCACAAGCAGACAAAGGGCCAGGCCTTGTTTATATGTGTCTTAATTAAATCCATGTACAATAGGAATAAATATTTTGCCAAAAAATGAGGAACATAAAATTGAAAATAACTCTGAAAACCATTTTGAGTGACTGGCCAGGTAATCTTAATCAGGGTTCCTTGTCAGTTCCTATAGTGGATTTGGTTCTCTCTCTAAATATAGTTCATTTTTTTTTAATTGGAAAAGGACATAATTGACTGAAAGAAAAAGAGAAGCTAGGAATTTACACAACCTCTTGGCCTTCTCTAGAAGCTCCTCTTTCTTATTTATAATGTCCTTCCCTCCAAGAAAAGCTGTTTCTAGGCTTTTGACTGCTTTTGCATGATTTATGTAAAAACCCCCCAGAATAGTGCTCTCCCCTCCCAGCACCTAAAAGTGTTGCTTTTATATTTCTGTAGCTTTTCCTCCTGAATTACTGTGTCTCATCTGATGAGCAGCACAGATGATCTAATGTGATCTGAGCGCCAGAGTCCCTGACACAATTTTTCCTTGGTTTGGTACTTGTGTCCTAGTTGAATATCCATTAAGAAAACCCTTTCCAGTGGCTCTTTGCCTTGGACTCCTCATCCTAACTGAAGATGTGGCTTGTCTGATGCTTCTTTACTGTCCTTATTCTGCTTGTCAATTAATTAGATTTAAATTTAAGGAAATCACTTTAAAAGAACCAGAAAAACCATCCTTAAGCTTTAGTGTTTTGACTCTGCAGCAGGCTTTTCCATTGACCTTAAAATTCAAACTACATTGTTATATTTTCACTTTGGTTGATGTTTTGGTTTTTTGTGGTGTTTTTTTTTTTTTTTTTTATTAGTGTGAAGTGAAGGAAACAGTGGCTATTCTTTCAACTGAAGCTAATTTGAAAATATGTATTTTAAGCCTTCCTTTCCCCTCCCCTCCCCTTTTTAGGAAACACTCCCTGGTTTTAAATGGATTGGAAGCAGAGTAAAAAATCTCCTAGACAATGGAAAAGAAGTTCTCTTTGCATTTGAGGAGTCTATTGGTATGAGTGCTGGTATACCTTTAAACTGTTGAGAACTGAGGGTGGGAATGTGCTCAGGAGGGACTGAGCTATGAAATCAAACACACAGACAAAGTGCTTTATTTTTATCCTAGTAGTTCATAGCATTGATATTTTGCTCTCATCAATTTGGCGTGCCAACTCCCATAATAAATGGTATCTGACTTGCTGATGTTGGTGTTTTGCTTATCTTCCCAGCTCTATAACCCCCAAGTTCATTAGATTTCTCCTGCATATGCAGCAATAAAGCTGCCTCCATGTACTGGTCAATTTCCCTTTACAGGATCAAAGGTTAGAGTTTCAGTCAGGTGAATCAGTGTAATAATCTGTCAGGTTATTTCTCCACAATCCCTTTTTCCTTCCTAGGCTTCATGTGTGGCACATCAGTGCTGGATAAGGATGGAGTGAGTGCAGCTGTGGTCATTGCTGAAATGGCAACTTACCTGCAGGGCCAGGGCCTGACCCTGGCACAGAAACTCGTTGACATTTATGAGATGTGAGTGGTGTTTTTCATATTGGGATATTCTACTCCACTGTTTCAGAGCTGGGAATCATCTAAGGAATATTTACTTAAATATAAATATATATATAAGTAAATGTTTGTGTCCCTCGGATGTTTTCTCATTGTAAGCTGCTGTGGGGTTTTTTGTTGTAGGATGGATTACAGCCCATCACTGGTGCAGATATCACAAGGGGCTCCAGGAGGGCTGGAGAGGAATTTGGGACAGGACACAGGGAATGGCTTCCCACTGCCAGAATGAATCTGTGACAGAGCAGGAAGGAATGGCTAGGGATACAGTCCCAGCGATAAAAGAAGGGTGTGTTTGTCAGAATTAACCCCTGTACTGAGATCTTTTGGGTACCAAATGTGCTAAAACCCTTTGAATCTTAGAATTGAAAACATTAATCTGCTTGTAGGTATGGGTATCACATATCCAAGACTTCCTATTTCCTGTGCTATGAGCCTCACACCATCAAAAGGATATTTGAGCGGCTGCGGAACTTCGATGGTCCTCAGTCTTACCCCAAATGCTGTGGGGCTTACAACATCCTGCATGTCCGAGACATCACCACGGGCTACGACAGCAGCCAGCTGAACAAGAAGTCGGTGAGTGAGAGTGTTTGTGCAGAGGAGGGTCTGCAGAAACTGGAACGCACAGGGAAGGAGGCAGCTGTGTGATGTGCTGGTGATTCTGATGCAATGACCTCTGTTGACTCCCTGCTCCTGCAGTTCCTGAGCTCCCAGGGGCTGCTGCAGTGGCAGTAAGGGGTTGCTGTGATTTTGTAGGTGCTGCCAGTGAGCAAGAGCAGCCAGATGATCACGTTCACCTTCCAGAACGGCTGCGTGGCCACGCTGCGCACGAGCGGCACCGAGCCCAAGATCAAGTACTACGCCGAGATGTGCGCGCTGCCCGGGCACAGGTCAGTGCCCCAGCAGGGCACCAGGAGGGGGCTTAGCATCTGCTGCAGCTGACTGCTCTCACACACCCAGTTCCCCAGTTACTCAGAGTTAAAACTGCTCAGGTGACAAAGTCACAGAGTTGGTTAGGTTAGGAAAGCTCCCTGAAATCAGAGTCCAACCTGTGACCAGCCCTCACCTTGCCAACCAGACCAGAGGGCTGTCACATCCAGGCTTTTCTTTCACTCCTGAGGTTGTGCTGCTGCTGAAGAGAGTGGGAGCCCACCTGGCTGCAAACACAGCCTTTGGGAATCTGCTGTTACCCTGAGCTGTGGGAGAGGAACTAGATGTTGTTCACCTGGGTTGAGCTGCTTCCAGTTTAAAAGTGATGGGGGGGAATCCATATTATGGAACCATGGAATGGTTTGTGTGGGAAGGGACCTTAAAGACCATCTCGTTCCATCCCTTTGCCATGGGCAGGGGCACCTTCCCCCATCCCAGGTTGCTCCAGGTTGTGGGGTGGGACAGCCACAGCTGCTCTGGACAACCTGTGCCTGTGCCTCACCACCTGATTATTGTACTATTAATTGAAATTAATTTAAAGGAGAAAAAGGCCACTAGAGGGCGCTAGGCACCATCTTTAAAAGTCCCTTCCAGCCCAAGCCCTTATGGGATTCCATGATAATCCTGCTGAAAACAGGAGTCCCTACACCTGGTGGGGTAGGAAACGCAACAGGGCAAGTTCATCCCCATCAGCTCTTGCTGTTTATTTATTTATGTTTGGGCATTTCCCAGACCTCTGACCTGGGCCTGTTTTTTCCTGCAGTGCCAGAAGTGTGCTGGAAGAAGAGCTCCAGAAGCTGATTGAGGCTTTGATCGGGAATTTCCTGGAGCCTGCCAAGAACGGGCTGACCTGGCGCTCTGCATAGAGCCCGCTGCTGCAGGAGGCACGGTGTGGAACAAAGGACCCAGGAGCAGAACCACACTCATCTCTGTGTGTGTGTGTTTTAAACAGCTGCATTCTTTTTCTGTAAAGAAGAAGCGTTCTTTTATCAGGCTTTTCACCAAATTGGGATAAGGAGAGGAGGTCAGAGGAAAGAGTAGCATTTATTGTTGCAGTTCTCAGTCCCTTTGACCAAAAGTTTAATTAACCCACACCAATGCAAATGAATTGCCCTAGTACCTTTGAGGCAGCTGAGCTTAGCTGCTACATTTTGTCCTAAACTCAGTTCAGGTACCTAAAACACATCTTTTTTTTGTGTGTGGAAAAGTTTTAAAGTTTTAAAGGGAGTGATCACTCCAAACTCACAACAAAGGCTGCTTCTTCCCTGCAGCTCTGAGACCTTCCATGCAGGTCTGCACTTCCAAAAGCATCAAAGCAGAGCTCAGCATTTCTTGTTTAGGCAAATTGTTGACATTTTTCAGCTATTTAAGAATTCCTCTGTTGGTCAAGTTGTTCTTGGGCATTGTAGCTTTCCTGTGTGTGTCTTAAAATAATTGGCAATGAAACAATAGTGGCAACAGCTGCAGCTTGGGGTTGGAATTGCCTGGTGCCTTTCCAAGGCTTCCAAAGGAGCAGGAACTTGGTCATTCCTTGTTAAAATGGCCCTTTCTGACTACCACAGGCTCTGTAGCTACTTTTTTGTCCCACATCTCTGAAGGATCTGAAGTGTTCTTGATTTTCTGTATTCATTACTTCGAATGAAAATGCCAGTCAGTGACTTTTTGGTTTTTGCTGGCCTGTATTTATATTGTCTGTGTATTAAAAAATACAAAACCAAGGAAGAAAGTGGAGATGAGGATGAGACTGACAAGTTACTAAATTTTGATTTTTTTTTTTTTTAAATTTTGCCATGCACTGTCAGGTAATTTTGCAAATTCTGTTATTCCCTATCTTGAAGGGTAAATTTTTAACAGCTTCTCTCATTTGTTTTCTCCCTTTGCTGAAGTAGCAAGTGGGACTTGTAATCACATTTTCCAAGAAAGCCACCCAAACCAATACTCAAGTTCTCCTTGTGGTTATTTTGGATTTTGGACAATAAAGGCTGTGTTTTGGCACAGGAGAGCTGGTTCTGGAAGTTCCCTGCTGTCACTGGCAGGGAGAAAAGAAAACCAGTAGCAATTCAGTGCTGGGTTTTCTCTCTGTTGGAGATGATGGGAGAAGCCCCCAAGGTGCCCTGGAGTTCAAGCTGTTGTTTTGCCACCATTGTTGCCTCTCCAAATTCAGCCTCCCTCTGATGATGCCCTTTCAGCTTGATGCCACAGGATGGCACAGGGTAGGTTTGTGTGTGTTGCCTCTCCATGGCTTCAGAGAGCCCTGAGGTTTGGGGGTTTCCTGCTGCTAGCAGCTTTGCACTATATCCGTGGAGAAGTATTTCAGTGTCTGTGAATGTATGTGTACTAGAGAAGGTCTGTGTTGCACAAGTTCTGACCTGTCACTGCTATTTATTTTTTTTTTTAATCTTGAGAAAGTATCTCCAGATTGTTCTGCCAGTGAGTGAAATGTATCTAATTCCAAAAGCTTTTTTTTTTTTTTTTTTTTTTTTTTTTTTTTTTTTTTTTTTTTTTTTTTTTTTTTTTTACCTTGATTGTACATTTGACTGACATGGTGGGGAAAATAGGCAAACCCAGATACCCTCAGAGGATGCTTTTGTTGTTGTCTGTGCTGGTAGGGCTGGGAAGGCATTTCTGTCTGCTGCTTTGCCTTCAGCTCACCCAAAAAAAGGATGCATATCTGGATCCCCACTGCATTGAACTTGAAGGAGCTCTTTAGCAGAAGAGTAACCCTGAGGCGTTGAGGATTTTGTTCGCCCAGCAGTGAAGAGAACAAGTAACTTGGGACATAATTTTGAACAAACGCTGTAAAAAGCATAGTGTGTGTGTGGTGAGCCCAGCTGTGTGTTATTGTAGCAGTCATGTCTTGTGAGAGATGGCTGTGCTCCTACAAAGAGCAGGAATCTGCAGCTTCCCAGAGTTCTGCTTTGTGTCAGTCGGCAAGTGCTAGAAATTGAGAAAATGTTTTCAAAGAAGCCTTGTTAGAAGCTGGTAACTGTTCATAGTCTAACTGTCCTTAATTAAAGAAGAAAACCCAGCTGTGGCATGTTTTGTGTCTGGGATTTTCCCCATGGATAGTTCTGACAGGGAGCTGTAGCTGTAGTAATGCTTTTGGGAGGACAGCAGCAGGCACAAGGTGTTGAATGTACTTTCAGGGTATAATAACTATTTGCTGTTTTGAAACTGCTGCTACTGTTGTTTTCCTACTGTATTGGAACTGTTTGATATATTTATACTATTCCATTTGTGGAACTCCTTTATCTCCTCCCTCTGATCTCGCATCCCTTACTTCTCTTACTGTGAAAGACTGGAATTCTCATTTCCTTGCCCTGTAACATTGTAATGCATCGTGTTAGAGTTCACTTGGTTTGTGCACAGCCTTCTCAGAGTTGTCAGCTGTTCTTTCCCACTTTTCAGTTAAGAACAAAGGCTTTTCTGACTTGAGTAGAAAGCAGGTCATAGATCAGAGGGTGCTGTGGATGTTGTTTCTGAGGTGCTTCCAGGTGAAATGCACCTTTTCAAAGGCTGGGCAGTGGCTAAAGCTGTGGTCATACAGCCATACAGGTGTGTTTGGTTTGGTGTTTGATAAAATCCAGAGGGCTTGGGTTTGTCCCCTGGCTGTGACAGGTTTAATTCCTGCACTGGAGTTGTGTGTCTGTGGGCCTGGCACAGGAACTCTGAGTTCAGGGCTTTGCCAGGCAACACTGAATGTCTGTGAGGCAGAGCTGGGTTTCTTACAGAGGTTGTCTTAGAGCATACAGGGTGTGGATTACATACGTGCAAGTGCTGTCCACCTGTCCCTTCCAGCCCCCCTGAGGGTGCGTGAGGGAACTGTGAACTCTGGTGTGCCAGAGGAGCAGAGAGTGCGTGACAGGCAGGGCTGGCCTGCAGTTGTGGCTCAGAGGAGCAGTGTAGCCCCACTCTGTGTTGGGCTGCTGAGGCAGCTCTGCTTCCCATGTGTCCCAGCAGGATGTAGCTCCAAGGAGCTGGGCTGGCCTTGGGCTGCAGGAGAGCTGGGATCTGGCCTGGGGAGCTCTGCTCATGTCCCTTTGAAATACCCAGCCCTCTGAGGGAGGGGAAGCACACCCTGGTGTGGTCCATAGGGTGCATGAGGAAGGCAGATCCTCTGGGGCTCCAGCTGTCCAGGTGGTGTCCATTGCTGCCTGAGGCTCCCTTGCCTGCCTCCCCTGCTCCCAAAGTTACCTGCATGTCCACATCCCTAGTGCTGCTCCCTGGCTCAGCACTTTATGTGCCCTCCCTGCCAGGCTCCTGAGGTCACTGGGGATTCCAGGTCCCATTTCCTTGCAGGAAGTGTTTGTGTGGAAGCCGGGAGAAGGAGACATGGGTTCTGCCACTTGATCTGTGCACAGCTTCAGGAGGCACCTGGATGCTCTCTAATTTTAAAACTGATACTGTTATCACTTTGTTTTGTCTTCCCCTCTGCCTTTTTGTCCTCTCCCCCACCAAGAGGGGGCTCCTTGCATGGTGACACCTGGGTGGTTACAGTCCAGCTTGATTCCCTTCACTCAAGAATGGCTTTGTACAGGTGACTGAAGTATCTCAAGTTGTATCATTCCCCTTGCCTAGAATCTCGGAGAGTTCTGAATCTGTACTCCTGTTTACCTGATGTCTGTTCTGTAACACTAGAGCGTATTACAAAGTGAGAATTTGCACTTTTCTGAAGACTTTCTGTGTACTGCTATGTGGATTTAGCTGAATGAAGTATTATAAGGAATAAAATATTCCCTTCATAATCTCAATCCAGGTTTCTTTGTCTTCTTTAGCCAAACACCTCTGCCCCAGAAGATGAGCTTGACTTGGAGGAATATCCATGTGCCACTTGGATAAGGCCTGGGAACAAGATACTGTTCAGAGCCTCCTCCTTTTGATGGCACTGAGATCTCCCTGATCATGGAGGGTGTCCCTGGGGCTGAGGGGATCCGGAGTGTCCCTTCAGTAGCAGCTGCAGCTTCAGGCCAGGGAATCCTGTGTACCTGCTGTTGTTTTTATCTGCCAAGGCTGCTATCCCTGGGCCTCTCTCCCCCTCCCAGCGCAGCACAACCACCTCTGAATTCCAGCCCATCCTCTGCAGGCCATTGCAGCGGGCTTGAAGCTGGGGAGAGGGTTGGGTTTCTTCGGACTGAAGACAGGGGAGCAGTGGCAGCACCCCGGGCACAGCAGGGACTGTAGTGGGGACACCTGGCTGAGCCACTGCTGGGCTGTCGTTGCAGCATTCAGCACTGGATGTCACTACTGGTTCCTGCAGGGGGATGGAACCCTGCGTGTCCCAGTGTGTCCCCCTCAGTGTGGGGGGCAGCCAAAGGCCAGGCAGGACCGCCGGCAGTTCAGGGTTGGGGTGTACTTCAGCAGGGAGAGTAGGACCCCAGGACACCTGCTGTCCTTGTCCCTGCTGCACACAGGCATTTCTTCCAGGACAGCATGATGGAGCTCGTGGGAGCAGTGTGGGGGACCAGAGCATCTCCTGGAGACTCCATGGCCCCTCGGTGCTGCTGGCAGGGCACCAGGACCCAGGGACACCCGCCTGGGAGCAGCCAGGGTTGCTGGAAGCCGATGAATCCTGACAGGCAGCAGTGCCTGGCTTTGCATCCGGGTCTTGTCAATTTAAATGTTAATTTGGTAACTAAATTAATTACCAATGTGCTGAGCCCAGCCCACGTGGGCTGTTCCCTGGGCTCAGCTCTCCGCAGGCGCCTGAGGCATCTCCGGAGCCAGTCCCTCCTGGATTTGCCCTGCTCGGCTGCTTCCCACTGGGGGAGGAGGACTGGACTGGTGCCCCGGGAGCTGGTGCTGGTGAAGGGCTAGGTGCTCCCTGCTGGAGCACCTGAAATCCTGTCGGAGGGCCTGGGGTGGGAGCGGGACCAACAGCCCCCAAAACCTGGTCCCCAGAGTCAAGGGGAGACCCTCAATTGCAGTTTGCTAAAAGGGAAACTGAGGCACAGGGAAGAGAGAAATGGGCTCAGGGACCCATCCTGCCCATGCACAGCAGCATTCCTGAGGCTGGGGAGCCTGAACAATTAGAAGTGATGAAGGTCATCTAAAAATAGGGATTTGTAAATGTCAGGTTGGTGAGTGGCTGGGGCATGTGCCGGGAGGACAGAGCAGCTCTGCAGGCTGCCTGTGTGTCCTTAGGCAGGACCAGGGACCTGCTCTGACCTGCCCTGGGGTGATCCTGGCTCCCTGGGAGATCCCTAAACCCCCAAGAACTAGACAGGCAGCACGAGAGGGTTTTTCTGGCTGTTTTATCCTGACAGGAGCTGCAGAGGAGCTCAGCTCTGCTTTGGATCGGAGATGAGGTGGGGGACACTGGGCCCGAACACAAGTCACTTTCCACTGGCTTTTGATAGGAGGAAACTTCAGCAAAGGCCTGAGGCCCCATGGGATGATCCCAGCCTCAGGATCTGGGTGCTGTGCTGCCAAACCACCTCAGAGATGCTTGGTCCCTCTCTCTGTGCAGACAATGGGAATCTACTGGCACAGGTACACCCAGCAGATGTCATCCCCTCCATCTCCTCCAGCCCTGCCAGCTTCCCCCTCATCCCCACAATCCCACCTGTCCCCAGCATGCCAAAAACTTGCTTAAAACAGCTGGGAACAGAGGTTTATTTGGAGAAATAATCCAGATTGGGGCAGATTAGTGGAAACATGTCCTTCCCCATCTGCCTGGGCACTGCTGTGCCAGCTCCCTGAGTGGCTGCCTGGAGCCGGGCTTGGGGAAAACACACAGGGACTTCAACCTGCCCCCTGGTCAAACTGAGTGTCCCCAGCTCCTGCCCCTCAGGAGGAGTCCCCCAATCCCTGGTAGTGTCACTTCCAGCCCCTCCTTGCTGCTGGGGACAGCTCTGTGCTCAGCAAGGAGCGCCCATCTCCCAGGAATATCCCAACCTGGCTAATTAGAAACATCCATAGGTAAACTGGAGATATCCTTACTAACAATCGCACTTTCTTTGGCAGGGCACAGGAGCCACCCCTAAACCAAAGGAAGGACAGAGTACTGGCCTGGGTGTGGCAGTCCTGAACCACCAATGTTTCAGGTGAACCCTGCTGAGGACTGAAATCCATTTCTGTGGGGTTTTTCCCCTGTACAAACCCTTCCTTGCTATCCACCCTGCTTTGTTTGTGCCTCAGTTTCCCCAAGGTATGAGGGTAGCATCCCTGTCTTGCTTTTCCTAAAGGAAACAATGAAAAGCAGAGGGTGTTTTTCCTCCCTCTGAAGGTTTGGGTTAATTTGTGATAATGGAAGAAGAAATGTGAGGACTAAGGAGCCTGGTGTGTAGGTTCTGAGGGGTGAAGTTGCTTGGGGAGAAATAATTATCAGTAATTCAGTGTGTTTCATGAGGCAGCTTATGGCTGATTTTCTTCCCTGCCCCAGTGCAGGAGCACCACAGCCCTGGGCTCAGTGAAGACAAGGGTGATGCTCCAGCTGAGTTATTTCTCCTGGAAAAATCCAGCTGCCGTCACCACACTGGGAGTTTTGGCCTCTTCTGCACTAAAGGAGAACCACACTCAGCCTCTTTCCTACAGCTCTGGGCACCATGGAGCACCTTGGGCCACCGGGGATACCCTGATTCAGTGACATGAACACCTGAACGCCCCCAGGATGTTCTGGGGGCTGGGTGTCCATCCCAGCTCCAGCTGCACCCACATCCCCCTCCCCAGCCAAACCTTCCTGCCTGCCCGCTTGATCAGCCCAGGGAACATCTGAGCTTTTGAAAATAAGGAAGGAAAAGCAGATCTCAAAGCCTGTGCTGGTTGCAAAGCACTAGTGGCACTTCATATATGCAGGGCATATAAATAGACATTTTCTGGCTTTCCCCCCCCCTCTGTTTTGATTATGAGCCACTGCAGGGGACTCTGAGCATGCTTTTCTTGGTTCCTATCACAGATACTGTTTCTATCCTGCATTTCCCTAGGCTCCAGGAGCTGCTGGAGTGACTTTCTGCTCGGGCAGCAGCTCCTGCCATGAGCTTGGGACATTGGGAGATCCACATTCTTTCATGGAAAGGGACTGCATGTAAATGGGATGGCAGCTGCGTCTCCAAACACAAGGCCTTCTTTGAGAACCCAAAAAGCACATTTTGAGTCTCAGCTCAGTGACAATGCCCTAATCCAGAGGTTCCCTAATCCTGCTCCTTCATCATGTGTGGGGTATGCGCTGTACAGAATCATATCTATGCTAACAAGCAACAGGAATTGTGCTCCCACAGCTTTAGCTTTATCCAGCCCCATCCTACCCCCTGCACATCACCTGGGGGGACTTGGCATCTTTGGAGGGGTCTCACTGCACCCAGCTTGGAAGGCCAGGATGGCCCAAACCTTTTGGTGCCAAAAGGAGAAGTGCCCTCATCCCTGGGCAGCAGAAGCCACCACCTCCCTCCCTCTGGCCTCAGGAAAAGCTGGAGCCACCAGCTGCCCACACCAGCCACCCCTTCAGAGAAAGGGCTTCGGGGTCAGGGAGTGTTTGGTCACTTCTCATTTTGCTTGGAGGCGATTTCCTTCCCGTTACCTATTGCCAGAGCCCATTATCTATTGCCAGAGACCAAAGCCTGCTGCCAGACTGGTGCTCTGTTCCCTGCTCCAACATTCCCCTTCTCCCTGCTTCCTCCAGGCTTCTCCCTGCCCCACGCTCCCCCTCACCAGGGTTCCCCATCTCTGTCCCCGCGAATGGATGCTGTGCCCCTGGAGTCACAGCTGGGGTGTGCTCTGCCAGATGTGCAAATCCACCCTGCTGCCCCTTTTGCTCAGGGGCTGCGGTTTGGCTGCACTGGGGTGGGAAAGGGAAGAAGGGAGGAGGTGGGGAAGCAGAAGGCGAGGGCAGGCTAAGATTTCTCCCCCAGAAGCTGACTGCATGGAGTGACAAGGTGGCACTGCAGCCCACAAGGTCCAGGGGGACAACCTCAGGAAAAGGTCCTCAAAATGCAACAAGTTTCACAAGGAGCTGAGCCATGGGGATCTCAGGATTCCTCAGGAGCCAGGACAGAGCGGACAACCAGCTCCCTGCTCAGTAGGACCAGCTCAGAACACCCAGCAAAATCATTGCGATTCCCAGTGCTGTATCCCCACTCGAACACAACCCAGCCTCAGGCTCTCCTTTCCCACCTCGATACTGGGATTTGAAGGGCAGGAATTTCAAAGGGGAAAAATGCAAAGGATCCTACAGCAGGTTGCATCCCTGCCGGTGCCTCCAGGCACGGCCGGGATGGAAATAACTGTGCTGTCCTCCTGGCAGCTGAGTGCACACGCACCCAGGCTCAAGGAACACAGCTCCCGCAGAACTCTCAACTCAAAGCCAGCACACCGGGCACATTCCCGAGCATCCCCGAACACCCGGCATGCCACCCGCGGCTGAAGGAAGCCGCGCTCCTCGCCCTGCCCGCATCAGCCTCCCGCCGTGGGGAAAGGCAAACGCAGATGCCTCAAAACGCAACGCTTCAGCGTTCATCCCAGCACCGAAACTCGGCATTTTAAGACGCCGCATTCCAAAAGCTGCAGCTTCCTTTGGGGAAGCCCCGCAGCCGGATATGCTCAGCGCTCCGGCACATCACGAATTGGATACCAAACCACCAAGGAGAGAAGAATTGCTTTAGCAAACTGTTACCTGGATAATTTTCCCGAGCCCCTGTGCTGTTGCCAGGGAAGGATCAGGACTGGCAGAGCCTGAGATCTGTGCACAAGCCACACAAAACCCCTCTGCATCCCTGGCCACCAAACCAGCTCAGCAAAAGTTCCTAAGCACCGATGG